TTAAATACTCCAGAAAACCACTAAAAATGATGATGCCAACTACACTGAGATAATCAGTACATTCCTGTCACCTGATTATTTTGGACTGTTTTCCTCTTCTATGATGCAAGAGAATAAGAAACAAATGATCTCTGCTACTCTAGTTAATTTCTTTCATATTCCACCCAGCTCTGGAGAATTCACCAGGATTCTCAAGGCTAAGTGACATGATGGGCCATGTGTAAGTCAGCCAGATTCACTCGTTCTCTTCTTTCCTTTAAAGCCACACTAATAAATGTAATAAAATATAGCCCTCTATGAAAACCGATTTTTCCGTGATATTATTAAAATATTGAAAAATCCTTACGGTCTAGTTCTCTTTGTCCATGCAAATTTAATATAACCTCATAATATCTTACTCAGAGTTTGCATACATTGTTAGACTTTATTAAAGTATCTTCTTTGTGCAAATATAAACAAGTACTTCTCTGGATTAAAGGGAGATACAAGGGAAAGTATTTCTGTTAACATAAACAGGCTGTTAACCATGTTGATCCAAGAATGCTGACAACTTCTTTGGTAGTAACTAAGAAAGACTGATTTTCGTGTACTGAATATATATGATGTAGCCTGCACAATGATACTAATAAGTATACAACAAACTCTGTTAAAACATTTTCTTTATATTTATCTGCTATACCAAACATATGATCTTCATTATTTTAAATGTGACTATGAAGCAATTCTTATATCAAATGACTCAGTAACTCAGCTTACAATAAAATAATAAACATGAAGGATTTACTTTAGATTCACCTCTCAGTCACTTATCAATGGAGTCTGGACAGTGGCAAATATGTTAATTTTACAAAATAATGACATCAACCCTTGGTCAAAACAGGAGACTGATAAAAGAAATATCACCCTTGGACACACACACACACACACACACACACAACCTGGAGTTTAAAAGTAATTTGATTATAATGAATGATTTGTATACATGAAATGTGATATGAAATAGAATTGCAAAACTTAGTTGAAGAGGATCTTAATTAAGTAGCCAAAAGAATATATATATATATATATATGCATATGTATATATATATATATATCCTTGAAAAACAAATATTGCAAAGATAGGATTTTGAAGGCATGAAATTTTTATTTTAGTGAAGGATTGAAAGAAAGGACTAAACCAGATAGACACCTTGATGTGACAATATTGTTTCTCAGTGAACTGTGATTATCTTGTTCTTTTTAAGGAATTTCACTTATGAAGGTGAGAAAATAAATATTTCTTCAATTGTAGGTTTGCATGGCAGATTCCTCTAAAATGAGGAAAAGTGCATACTGAAAAATACATTTCTGTTTTATTTATAGAATCTTCTGTTTCCAAGGGAGCCAAGATGCCATTGCAAAGTAGGGCTAATATTAAAATGGGTCATCATTTAACATTTTGGGTAAAGGTTGTCAGTGTTTCTAACCTAGAACAGTTTGTTTAATCATTTAGATTAGCATGTTATTACTATGATTCTGCTAGTACTAATCCTATACTGTAACACCCACTGAAGGTTTTATGACTTTGAAATCCTGATTTGTTAGATTTACAAAGAAAATAATGTTTTTCAAGAAAATTCTAATCTTGTTGTCTTTGCCTCTTGAACACTCTATTTTCTGATGAGGAAGTATATAAAGTAACAATGTTAAGCTTAGCTTTATTTAAGGAAATGCTATTGAATTTCTAGGGAAGACCAAAATAGCTTTGATTCAATCACTTGCTTTGTCTTTTTCATTTATCTTTTCTTTTCTTTTTTTTTTTTTTTTTTTTGACAACCTTTTCTTTTGGCCTTTTGTTATCCTGTTTGCTTTCCAAAATTGTTAGAGGCATTTGATATATTGACTGAATCTTTGCTACTTTCCCCCCCAAAATCAATCTTATTTGTATCGTATTCTTTGTAGTTGTGTTTTTTCCTAGGGCATGTTGTTCTCACTTTTGTTTCTGTTTAGAATGTGTAAAAGTAGACTATCCCAGAAAGGAAATTTACCTTGATATAAGACTAGAGGAATTTGATTATCTGAAAAGACACAAGTTATCTTGTAAATTTGAAAGCGTTGCAGAGAGAAAGAGAGAGAGATCTTCCATCTGCTGGTTCACCCCCTACATGGCCACAATGGCTGGGACTAGGCCAGGCCAAAACCAGGAGCCAGGAGTCAGGAGCCAGGAGTCAGGAGTGTCTTCCAGGTCACCTTCAAGGGTGTTTCCAAGCACCTGAATCACTTCAGCTGCTTTTTCTAGGCCAATAGCAGGAAGCTGGATCTGAAGTCCAGCAGCCAGGACTCAACTGGCAACTGTATGAGATGCCAGCATCGCAGGCAGCAGCTGTATCCACCACACCTAAACTCCAGCCCCAACTTAGAACTTTTCAGACACCAGCTCTGCAGAGGGAAAGAGTCCTTCTCCCTGTCCGACACCTTCAATTCTGTGCACTCCTAATCTCCTACATCCAAGTCCCCTGTCTTCTTCCACTCCTCTTCCACTTAATCGTAATTGTCCCTAGGTTCTTTTTATTCTCTTCTTATAATGTCTCTACTTTGCAACCATAACCACTGTCAGAATTATAAACTCTACATCAGAATTCTCAAAGTCAATTCTCTGATATATTGACCTCTGATTTAAAACTTGTGTTACTTAATGGGCTACACATTTCCACAAATTGGAATCTAAATAAAGACTAATTAAAGCCTTGTGAGTAGTTTCAAGGAAACAGTAAAAATAAAAACATAATAATAACAAAATTTCACTTTTATATTATGAAATCTATTAGTCATTTATTATTAACACTTCTAATTTATTTAAAATTATTCTTATTCTACCTTTTATATTATATGATGTATAATAAGCCTTGATCATAAAAAATGAGATTCATAATATTTAACAGTGCATTAGTGCATTTGGAAGTTTAGTGCTAAAATTAAAAACTGGAAAAGTTCCAAATAAAATAAACTTTTTGAGTGTCTCAATATAGAGTTAAAGATTTTCTTCAAAGTAGAATTAGGTCAAAGAACACCGTAATTTAATGATTTTATCTTGCATGTTTTCTATTACATGTATTTTCTGTTACTTAATCAATCATTTAAATTTTTATTAATGCTTTATTTTTGTATAATCAATGTTATTTCTGTTGGTGTATTAACTTTTAACTGATTAAAAATTTTAGAAATTTTAATATACAAAACAAAGAAATCCACAGAATACTAAAGAAAATAGATGAATAATCATTATCTATACAAAATTAAAATGTATGAAAATAAAAGTGAAATTTTATCAAATGAAACAGTGTAAGCCATCATTTGCAATGTCAGGTTTTCATTTTTTCATTTCAGTTTTCAGAGTGCCAGTTTGAGTCTAGGCTGCCTTGCTTCTGATCTAGCTTCCAGCTAATGTGCCTAGAGCCACAGCAGTAATGGCCCATTTGCTTGAGTTCCTGCCACCCAAGTGGGAGATCAGGGTGGAGTTCCTGGCTCCTGGTTTTTCCCCAGCCCAGATCTCACTGTTGCGGCCATTTGGGGAGTGAACCTATATATGAAAGACAGCTCTTGTGTGTTCGTTATCTCTCTCTCTTTCTCTCTCTGTGTGTGTGTGTGTGTGTGTGTGTGTGTGTGTGTGTCTAACCCTCCTTTTTAAATAAATAAAGCAGTTAAAAATTGAAGTTTCCATTCCATAGAAAAGAAACATGTTGTTTTTACAATATATATACCTAGGAAATATTCTTTAATTTTACCTATCTAAATTACTGAATTACATAAGACAGTAGTCATGTACTTCTTGAAAAAAATTAAGAACCCCAAACTTACATATTGTCAAGAAATATTTTTTTTAAAACTGAATTTCTGTTTATATCATGAACTTAATTTTCCCCTCATTTTAATACAACTAAACAACAACCAACAAAATTCTGATTGAAAGTTTAAATTAGCTAGCTAAATCTATGCAACTCTCAGTAAGTGTATTCCCTTTCTGTGGGTTCTTGCACATACACTGACATATTTATTGAAACACATATACTGTACTCTTTATATTCTGCATGTTTAGAGAAAGGTAAAGAACAGCCTGGTGATAAAGTAGGTTGTCAGGTGTCTCAAAGAAGAGGTAAAAGGCTATTCCAAATGTAAGCTGTATGTGGGTAGAAGTAGTCCTGAGCGTCCTCAGAGCCTTCCGAGAAAAGTGTACCACTAGAATCGGACAACTGCGACCAGAAATATATATTTTACAGATGTAGCCATTCAGCTGCTCTAATAAACAACCATGATAATGATTTAAGAGGTTTGTAACATTTTCATTGCACAACAGTAATTGTGTGCTTACTGCCTATTGTACTTAGACATGTTGCATATTTTAATTTTTGGAAAAATGTTCATTGATTTTATTTTTTAATGTATATTATTTCCTGTGAAAATTGATGCAATCACTATAGATAAAGTCACTGCTGAGTCTTCACTCCTTTGACTTTTTGCCAGCACCACTGCTGGTCCTGGCAGCCCCCTTAGTGTTCCTTTCTGGTCTTGGGCTCCTTTCACTGTTTTTTTGAGATCTTTATCTTCTCATCCAGGCCACTTGCTACAAGTCTCAGTTTGGGTTTATTTCTTTTTGTGTAAAGCAGAGATCTGCAAATCATTGCAATGCTACTTGTTTTGCCATCGCCAAAATGAGTTCCAAATCCAAAAACCAAGATGACATTGTCTTGTACATTTTCCCAAATTCCTGTCTTAGGCACTTTTGTTCTCTGAGGTTGGAGAACATCATTGACCATTTATTTCATTAGAAGTAGTCAGTTAGTCCTAAACTTCCTGGTCTGGATAGTTTCCGTATCATTCAGGATGGCAGTTGACCCTCATGCAGCCAGGGAGGAAAGCAGCTGGTTTAGTTGTTGTTGTTGTTTTTAATGCTCCTTTTCTGTCTCTTCTCCTCTCTCTCTCTCTTCTCTCTCTCTCTCATATCTCACTCTTTTTTTTTTCAGATGACCCGAGAACAATACATACTAGCAACACAACAGAATAACCTGCCAAGGACTGAGAATGCACAACTTTATCCAGTGGGAATTTATGGCTGGCGAAAGAGGTGCTTATACTTCTTTGTCCTTCTGCTGTTGGTTACCATGATAGTTAACTTAGCCATGACAATATGGATATTGAAAGTTATGAATTTCACTGTGGTAAGTACCACCATGATTTTACGTTATTGCTTTTGATTCAAAGATCATTCAACTGTGTTATTTTAAGTTCTTTTCAATTGGAAGTTAACTGAAATTGTATTATATGTCTTTAAAACTCAGAGACAGCCATATTAAGACTACATTCAGTATTTTGGCCATTAATGTGTGAGTGTGTGTGTGTGTGTGTGTATTCTTTCAGGGAACATACATGGTAAATGAAAAATAAGAAATTAAATCACTTTTGTGAAGATTAATAACTTAATAGCAAAATGATTACACAGTTTACTGAAATTTGCTTTAGTTTCTTGTTTGGTTGTTTGAATATTTTTATAAGAACCCTATGAGAGCGTAACTTGTCTGGGAAAAATGGTTGCTTCAGCACAAAAGGCTCATTTTCTATTTTCTGGCTAAATCCTTAAATTACTCTGCTTTCAAGTCACCCCGCCTTTGCTTGGAGTCCTCAGTCTCTACACACATAAGCAGGTGTCTTGCTTGCTGACCACACTTTTACTATTCTTTTTCTCTGTATCCATAGCGATGACACCAATGCTGTGTTTTAAACTCCATTGATATTCTTGTATTGGCCTGTGGTGTGTGTGTGTGTGTGTGTGTGTGAATTGTTGTTTTTAATCTCACTGGATATTGATTTAGCAAGAATTCTTTTTTTCTGACTTCACTAATACCTTATTCTAACTTGAAATGGACTTTCAAAGAGAAAAGTGAGCAGAACAGTTGCCCACACAGTATAGCACCACAAATATCGTGTGCATAAAAAGCATGGGAATGAAGGTAGCCTGACCTGTCAGATAGGATTTCATTGTCACTGCACAAATCAAGATAAAACAGTAGATGTTTATGGAGAAAAATGAGCTGGATGGTTCTACTTTTATAAATAGAGTACAAATTTGAAGAATATTCATTTAAAAAGAAACTAAACTCAAAGGAGAGATTGACACAAGTCAGTATGTTCCCAAAATGAGGGGGAAGAAAGTACATTCTACAGATACATTCTCTTCTAGGATGATTGAGCAAGGCCTGTGGGCCTGTGGTTGGCTAGAGGTGGACGTGTGGGCTCATAGGTAAATGGTTATTGAGCAGATTCTCTGGTATTGCGTGGGAATCACTGCATTGTCCAAGCCTGGGATCAGGTTCCCTTCTCATTTAAGAATGTTGCGTCACAAATGTCAGTAACTGCCCAGTGTTTCTGTTCTGAATTCTGCTTCTCTGCTCCCTGGTGATGCCGGGGCTTCATTATTGGTTCTATTATTACAGAGTAGGGTGATGTGTATACCTCTGTAGATACCTTTTTGCTGCCTTCACCATAAGAGAAACTAGAAATTGATGGCAGCACATTTTCAACCTAATTTTTCTTAATGAAAAATTATATTTTAAAAGGAATGATTTTCTCTGAAACTTGAAATTTCAATTATTCAGTTTCCTCTATCAAAAGACATCTTCTAAAAGCTTATAAAAGAGGCCATCAGCTCTCACTTCAGGGAGCCTTGATTGTCCTAGTGACCAGAACATGGAAATTTTCAGGTTCAGGCCACATAATCTTCTCAAGCATATTTACATTAATTAGGAAAATACCCTTAGCAACATAATTACTTGACTGCACGCATCACACTTTAGATAGTTCATACCTTGTCGTCCAGTCCCACGCTGTTGCCAAGGCTGGATAAGCCATTCATCGGAAATAATTGAAACAATCACCTGTGTTTTCAGGATCCTCATAGACCCCAGGGTTTCTGCTACCCTTGGAGCTATCTAATTTGAACCTCAGCTGGCCAAAATGCGAATGCCAATAGAACCTTGAGGGCAATAAAAAAGATTGTTTCCATTGTAGTCTGGGTATTTGGTTTTCTGTTGGTAATTTTCATTTGTCACATTTTTTTTTCTTTTAATTCATGACTTTAACTTTTTATAATGAAAAAGAAGACTGTTTCCTTCAGCTATGTAAGTAATATGCATTTAGATGAAGGAAATGGACAGATGAAGTTGTAATGATAGCATCAAGATAAACTTTGTAAGGCAATGCATTCTCCATCCTAATGCAGTTGTTCATAATTATTCAGAGAAATTCAGCATTACTGAAGCAGTTGCAAGATTTAGCAGTTCTATATACTACAAATGAAGTTGTATATACTAGAAAAGTGTGAAATAATTGGTAAGTCTCTTACATTAGAGCAGTAAAAAAAAATCAATTTTATGTTTTCACGAGTACATCATGTTTGTAGCTATCTCCACTGTGAATACCAAAGACCAGTTGCCATACCTTAGCCAAGAAGCAGAAAATGATGTGTGAATTGTTTGGGGAGTACTATTGATCTGCCCAAAATATATTTCACTTTTATTATAACTGTTGCCATCCAATACATGGAAATATGTGGCTGTTAACATCTTTTATTTGAGCAAACTGGGCATGTTATTGTTATCAAAATATTGTATTTTCGGCACAGAAACAGAGCTGCCAACCTGTTTTATGATGCTGTGCAGGCTCTGTCGTTATGACCAACATGGTGCATGATATGTACGGTTGATATGACCTTATTAACTTTTGTTTTTCATTTTGTGGAAAATCATCCTACTTATTGAGATACCCAGTTACAGAGAACGAAGAAAAAGGAAATGAGTTTACACGACAGCATGAAAGACTTAGGATAGATATAGATAGTAATTTCCTGGCTATGAGAATTGGTAAATACACCACTGAGTCAAAGAGAAATTTTTTGAAAATTCATCTCCCAAGATGAGTATAACCCAATTGCATGGTTTTGTTGCTGTTTGATTGGCATAATATCTGTGGTTTAATACAGATAGACAAACCTAGATGGTCTATCAACTCCAGCTTTTCTGCTAAGGCAATATTTTTTTCTTAGTTCAATGGTATGTCTAAATTAAGCCTTTATTTGAAAATTGAAAATTGATATAGTTATAAAGTAGTTATTTTAGCCGCCAGAGTTAACTAAACCTTGATAGCATTCAGCTGCAATGTAAACTAATGCATATGTTAACCAGCTAATAAAAGACAGAATGGAAACATTGATAGCATTTATTTAGCAAAGGAAGTAAACAAAATTACAAATGTAGTAGCCAAGAAGTCAGCTATACCCAGATATAATTAATAGTTAAAATAATCAATTCATTAAGCCAATTGGGAAAAAATATCTTAGAGCCTTGTGTAATCAATGCGGTGAATGTTAGCTGAAAGAAAATTCTAAGAGAAGAATGGTTGAATATCAACATTTCAGGATCGAAATGGAACAGGGGAAATTTTAGATCTACCATCCATGCACCAGTAGAGGTAACTTTTAAATGTTCCCATCATTTTATTCCTCAGCATTTGCTTAAAAATCCCTTTGGATGACAAGGACACCATACTAGTAGGGTATAGCTGTTATTGAAATCTCTTGTATATTACTTCAAACATGGCATTCTTGTTCCACTATTTCAATCTAACATTTTTTATTAATATGTCAAGACCACTGTATGTTATAATGCCCAGAAACACATGCAAGGATCATTATTCACACTGATTTTGATATCTATAAACCAGAAAATGCATGGGAGAATTTTATGCAATGATTTTTGGTTTCTTTTTGTGTTTTCTTCATTTCAAACATTACATTACATAATCATAAATATATTTTTATGGAAATATCAGTCTTCTAAGATGTATTTCTCTTTTTAGCAGCAGGCAATAGTCATTTCCATTTTTTCATAATTTGTTGTCTTTTCACGTACCTTTCCAAAGTGCACAGTATACCTTTTATTATATTTAGTTTTCTCTTAAAGCTAAAATAAAAAAAATCACTTATTGGAAAAGCATAGTGACAGAGAGGGGATGGGAGAGAGAAATTGATCTTCCATTGCTGGTTTGCCTCTCAAATGCCTACAATAGTCAGGGCTAGACCAGGCTGAAGCCAGGAGCAGGAAACTTCATCCTGGTCTTTCAGGGCTTCCATGTCAGTGGCAGGAACCATGAAAGTCCTACTAATTTCTGTCTTAGTTTATGTGTCTGTTTCTGACAGATTTATTCTTATACTCTTTTTTAACCGAAGCCCCCTCCTCTCTCATCAACCAAGAGGCATTACTCAAGTCCTTTCATGTCTTTCAAGGAGGCAATCAGCTTCTCCTGGTGGATAAAAAACAACACACTTTCCCCCAGGGTCTCAAGCATTTAGGGCAGGTGGATCTTTGTTTTGTTTTGTTTAGTGAAAACATAGTCACGTAATGCTGCAGTTACTGGCTCTGACTCCCTCAGTAGCAGCTCCAATAACATCCCAGTCTTTTCTTACAAACACACAAAAATCTTGAATTTTGTTTAAGCTCATTCTTTCCTGTACTACTGTGCCTCAACTTTGAAGCAAGAGGCATTGCTAAGTAAGTGATACAATTGGGCATCCATTGCTTGGTCAGTCACCACTAGCCACAATGACGTCTGTGCCCACTTGTTGTGCAGTTCCTATACAAAAAGTGACCTTGCCTTTCACAGTGAGAAGAAATAACTCTTCCAAGACTTCCAGCCTGTTCCACTGCAGTGGAGCCTCAGCCTGGCCCCCAACAATCAGGCATATCTCCCCGCAATGCTCCTTCATTGAAGGACTGAAATCAATGGAGTGCCAAGATTGCTTAGAGAAATTTATTGACCCAGTTTGGTCTCATGTAGGATGTTGGTGACCATTGACTAAAGAAAGAAAATGAGGCTGGCGCCGCGGCTCACTAGGCTAATCCTCCGCCTTGCGGCACTGGCACACCAGGTTCTTGTACCGGTCGGGGTGCCAGATTCTGTCCCGGTTGCCCCTCTTCCAGGCCAGCTCTCTGTTGTGGCCAGGGAGTGCAGTGGAGGATGGCCCAAGTGCTTGGAACCTACACCCCACGGGAGACCAGGAGAAGCCCCTGGCTCCTGGCTTCGGATCAGCGCAGTGCACTGGCCACAGCGCGCCAGCCATGGTGGCCATTGGAGGGTGAACCAATGGCTAAAGGAAGACCTTTCTCTC